GCTGTTCCCTATTGGTCCAGTTGTGAGGACTTCCGTTTTCTCTGAAGGGACTTGTAATCCAGATTGAAGGCTGTGATGCACGATCTTCATCAGTCCTCCTCACTGTCAGCTCCAGCTTATGGACTATTGACCACACGCCAGCACTATAGAAAGAGCCCTGGTGGTGCACTCATTTGTTAACTGGAAGGTCAATGCTTCAAACCCACCTGTGGCTCTGCAGAAGAAAGTCCTGGTGATCTGCTCCCATAAAGATTACAGGTTAGGAAATGGTGGGACAGTTATACTCTGTTATATGGGATCACTATATGTCCACATTGACTTGCCAGCACCCATTACCAATTGCAAGAACGATGTCACATACCAGATAGATAGAGACATATAGATACCTATCTATGTGTACATGACTTCATTTAACCTTCACAGAAACACTTTGAGGTCTATGCATTTCAGCACTCATATTTTTGACTATTCAGCATACCCTAACAGTGACATGTTTATTGAGTACCTATTTTATCCTTGGCACTCTGCTAGATCCTGGGACTTCAGCAGTGGAAAAGGCAGATGCTACCCTACCCTCAGGGAACATGCAGTCTAGTGGGAGGAGATGCACATTAGAATGATCATTTCTCACGCAGCTGAGTTTCTAATTCACAGTAACACTGCACTGTTGCCAATAAGAAATCCTTCTTCCTTGATGTCCTTTCTGGAGACCCTATGGGAGAACCGTGCTGGCTGAGAAGAAAAGGAGTGTGAAGTGCCTCTGAGAAGGGGAGCCCCTTATCTCAATTTTGGCCGGAGCAGCTCCACCATTCTATTCTGTTCTGTTTTACAGTGTGGGCACCTCTGCAGGGTTCTATTGAACACAGTGTGCCACAACGGGATTATACTGCCCAATAGACAACCCTAAAATCTCGGTGCTTAAAGTAGAATTTACCCTGTGCTCCTGCCCTTGAAGATCACCTGGGGTCTATGTTGTCTTCAAGGATTTCATCTTGCTTTTATGCATAACCAATGCTCATGGAAGCAGGAGTGTACATTCAGAAGGTACATTCCACTGGGTAAATTGGCACAAGGCCTCTTCAAAGTGTTGAAAAGCAGGGAGGTTGCTTTGAAGACTAAGGTACACCTGATCCAAGCCATGGCATTTTCAGTTGTTTTATATATGTGT